CGTTCAGCAAGGGCTGGCCCGTGTCTCCCTCTATGACTCCTTGTTCTTTGAACCGCCTGACGCCCGAGGGATCACGCTCCTTTCTGACGCCCCAGCTGTTCCCGCTGACCTTCCCGGAGGCCTGGTCATGAGGCTTCTGACGTTTCTGTCTTTAGTGTTAGGCTCCAAAGGAAACGAGAGGGGACCAAGCCTGCACCTTGCCCTCTGTGGGAGGGCGGGAGGCGGCACAGAGGGGCTGCCCCGGGACAGGACAGATGCAGGGAAAGAAGGAAAGAGGCCAGAAAGCCGCCCTCCGGATGCCCTCGTTCTCGGGGGGAGACGGTGAGGCAGGAAAAGCATTGACAGGAGCCACGGGAGTCCCTGCACCGTAGGCTGTGAGGGTGTGTGAGTTCATGGGAAGGTGCCTGCTGACTCTGAGGACAGCAGTTCCAGGAGGATGGGGGGGGGGGGGCTGAAGGCAGAAGGAATGAGTGGGTGAAGACCCTAAGCATAACCCATCCCCCCTGTATTATGGAACGAAAGGAAGAGATGGCATTGACACGGAAAGCATTTACAGTGGAGGGGGCTGGTGTGGCTTGCCACGGAGGGACATGTCGGTACCCAGAGAGGAAGGCCCTTACCGAAGGGAAGAGACCAGAAAGGCCGAAGACAGCGGAGGTCATGGACAGGCCAAGTCCCCGTGAAGGAGGAGCCTTGGGGATTCCCACGGAGGGCGGGAGCCCTTGTTTAATGGAGGCAGCACGCGGTGCCCCTGGCGCAAAGCACGATAAGATCGGGTAAGCTTGGGTTGGAGCTCTTGGCTCAGCCTAAAGGTGGCATCTAAACTATCCCCTCATCTGAATCTTGCCAGCTTGGCCTCCGGAGCCCAAAGCGATGTTATGAGCAAAAGAAAGAGGATGTGTGTGGTTGGCCTGCCCAGGTGCAGTAGGGCCTGAGACAACTTACTTAAAGAGCAGCCTGGAAAGAGGAAGGGAGGGGAGAGAACACACACACACACACACACACACACACACACACACACACACCCTGAGAGTAGGCCTGAGTCGCTTTTCTTTCAGTCACCTCCGAGGACGAATGAGACAGAAAGCAAGAACAGGATGCTCGGGCCTTCCAGCCGCTCCCCTCCTCTCCCCCACTTCCTCCCATCACACACAGGCCAGTGCTCCTGCTCCCTCTTCACCTGCTGCTCCTGCTCCTTGACAAACATGTAACAAAGCTTCCTAGCCGGTGCGGCAGGTTATGGATCTCCTCAGCCCCAGGAATGAGTGGGGTCTGGGGTTGGCTGCCTCAGCATGGGTGCTCAGGAGCCTAGAAGCGTGCCAGGCCACTGTGGGGTAAAAAGGCACTCTGCTGTGTGCTGAACGGATGCCTACCTGAATGCATTCGTTATTGTGTACATCAGGACCTTGCCCCTTGGCCCAGGCGGTTAGAGCATCCTCCCGCTGTACAAAGGTTGCAGTTTTGATCCCTGGTTAGGGCGCCTGCAAGAATCCACCAATGACTGCATAAATACCGTATTTTCCTGTGTTTAAGACACCCCCCACTTTTCCAAGCCAAAATTTTTAAAAAATCAATATTTTAAACATTTTGCTGGTTTTCCTCTTAAGGCCTTTATCTTTTTTGGCATCTTAAGGAGCTGTTCTTCCTGTTTAAAATATATTTATATATTAAATATATATATATTTTTTATTTTAGAGAGGGAGAGAGAGATGGAAACATCAATGATGAGAGGAATCATTGATCGGCTGCCTCTTGCACATCCCCTACTTGGGGATCAAGACCGCAACCCAGACAATGTGCCCTTGACCAGAATCGAACCCAGGACGCTTCAGTCCATAGGCTGACACTCTATCCACTGAGCCAAACCAGCCAGGGCTGTTCTTCCTGTTTTCTCTGCTGTCTGATCACATGGGAGCAGGTCCAAATTGTCTCTCTGCAGCTCTGTGTCCATGCTCTTTTGCATAGCTGATTACATTCAGTTTCAATTTTGCAGAGTAAGACAACTGCTTACGGTACTTATCTTTTTTAAAAAATATATATTTTATTCATTTTTTACAGAGAGGAAGAGAGAGGGATAGAAAGTTAGAAACATTGATGAGAGAGAAACATCGATCAGCTGCCTCCTGCACACCCCCTACTGGGGATGTGCCTGCAACCAAGGTACATGCCCTTGACCGGAATCGAATCTGGGACCCTTCAGTCTGCAGGCCGACGCTCTATCCACTGAGCCAAACCGGTTTTGGCCTACTCTCTCTTTGCAAGAATTTTTCTTGCCTCATCTCCTTGCTGTGGTGGCATTTGACCTTGTCCCTCCTCTGGGGTCACCGTGGGGACGCAGTGAGGGAAGGGAAGGGAAAGTGAGTCTGGAGGTGTTGATAGTTTTATGTTATGTGTTGTTGCATTCCTCCTTTGGGAAATCTTGGTATCACACGTTGGCGCTGGCCAGGTGCTCCAGTTTGGGAGGTAGGTTGGGGTGGCAGCAGGTTCTCCCCCTGCCCTGGAGGTGTCTCTGCTTGCTTCCCCAGTGTCTCTGCAAGCTTCCTGGGCTTGCCTGGCGGCCTGAGCCTGGGGCTGGGGCCGGACCCAGGCAGTGGGAGGGAGGAAGTAGCCAGAGTCCCGGGCCGGCTTCATGGTGCTGGTAACAGTCCATTTCTCTGGTCTGGGCAATGGTTCCTCGGGGTGTTTGCCTTGTAATGATTCATTCATCACCTGATGATCTGTGCCCCCTTTTTTTTGTATGTGTTTTATTCTTAAGTAAAAGTAAACTTTAACATTTCCTTTTGTATATTGACAGCACTCCAACCTTAACTGGAAGTTAGTGACTCAACCTAACAGAATTATACAGTACTTCCAAACTCTAAATATTGTGATATTCTCTTTTATTATTTTTAACAATGTCTGTTATTTTATTATAAAGCTATATGCAACTTGTAGAAAATTTAGAAAAGCATAAATGAGAAAATAATAATCTGCAATTTTACTACCCAGACAACTACTATTATTTTTTATGTATTTCTTAATGTTCCATAGGTATACATTATATATATATATATATATATATATATATATGCAGCTTGCAATAGTAGATTCATTTAAATTTGAAGTCTACTTTTTCCACTTAATATCTTGTGAATATTTTTCCATAATTAACTATACTTTGAAAATAAAAATTTTAATGCCTACAAAACATTTTTATGTTGAGTCATATGGTATTCATCTGTTCATTCATCCAACCATTCTGCAAATATTTGTTGAGCACTCACCATACTCCAGGAACAAAACAGACATGCCTGGCCGTTGTGGCTCGTGAGCAAAGGATTGGCTCATGAACAAGGAGGTCAGTGTTCCATTCCCAGTCAGGGCACGTGTCTGGGTTGTGGGCTCGAGCCCCATTCGGGGGCGTGCAGGAGGCAACTGATTGATTTTTCTCTCTTATCAATGTTTCTCTCTCTCTATCCATTTCTCTTCCTCTCTCAGTTTGCAAACTGAGGCCAGCTGCCACTAGTGCCAGGCTTGGGGCTGCTGAGCATGAGATATGGGGCATGCTGAGGCCAGATTCTGCTTGTTTGGGATTTGTGAACCTTGAGAGATTCTAGGAAAGTCCACAGCATGAGCCAAGACAGGCCATTAGTATAGAAAGGCAGTGGGAAGTGGCTTGGGTGGGTCCAAAAGTTGGGTGGAGCAGAGTCTCAGGGAATCACCAGGGAGAATCAAACGATGTTGGCCTGGTGATAGAGATCATGCATGGCTCTGGCCTGTGCATGCAGCTGGAGGGCTTAGCAAGGGAATAGAGGCTTCTGTTAGCACTGTGTCTGGGAGAAAGCTGCCCCTCCAGCCCTTGCCCTAAAGCCAGGCAATTCAGTTCCTTCCGTATGTCCCTGGCACCCTTTGAGCTGCTGCCCCAGCACTGACGCTCAGAGCGAGTGGATCCATCAGGAAGTCCATGTGCCAGCCCTTCAAGAGGTGCCCCTGGAACCCCTGCAGCTCTCCTTCTCTCTCAGCCACCGCCCTCCCTCCCCCCTGGTGTTAACAGCCAGAAGTTAGGGGACTTCTCCTCCAGGTACTGGACCCTTGGCTGGAGATCCAGTATTGGGGCTGGGACCCCTTGCTCCTCATGGGGGAACCTTCATGCCACTGAGATAGCCTTCCCCATTTTTCACCGCCACAGCTGCCACCAGTCTTGACGTGGCTTCTTCCATACATCCTCAGTTATAGGGCTTCTTAGTTTACCTGGGCTGTAGGCAGTTCTCCATGATGGTTGTTCTGCAGTTTAGTTGCACTTTTGATATGGTGAGAGGAGGTGAGTCCAGTGTTTATCTATCTGCCATTCTGACCAAAAGCCCCATTATCAGTTCTCAAAAACTACAGTATAAAGCGTTCTCTTCTTAAAAATTGGTTACTTTTAAAAAAAAACATATTTTTTATTGATTTCAGAGAGGAAGGTGGAGGGAGAGAAAGATAGAAACATCAATGATGAGAGAGAATCATTAATCAGCTGCCTCCTGCACACCCACACTGGGGATCAATCCTGCAACCCGGGCAATATGTCAAGGCCTGTGACTATTAAAGAAACTTGAATCCTTAGTTTCTGTGTCTTTATTTTATTTTTCGGCTCAAGATGGCATGTTAATATGTGAAAACAACGCGAAAAGACTACTGAGACTTGGGATGCAGATTTTGGTTTCTGTCGTCGTGAAACTCAGAAGGAACTAAGTTTTCTAGTGGGAAATAAAATCATCAGGTAGAAATGTCGAAAACAGGGAAGTGCCACCCAGACATTCAACGTCCTCCTCCCCAGCAAGCTCCTGTCCAGGAAGACAGGAAGAATTCAGAGCCACATATTTTCCCTTCCTTTTCAGAGAGGCGGGGCTCGGGATGTAGTCTGGGAATCGGCGCTCTTATTAATGACTGCTCTGTGGCAGCTAAACCAACCGAGCAACCAGCTGCGCTGCTTGCTCCTCCGACTCAGACGAATCTGGGCACAGAGCGTGTGCGAGGGGATGGAAATCAGCGTGCGTTCTTACCAGGAGCTGTGCTTCCCGGGACCTCACGTGAGTAACTCAGCCGTCTGGGGGAACTTTATCCTGGAAACTGCCGTGGGAAACAAAGCGGGGCATTGCCAGGGAGAAGAGGAACGCTTGGCTTCTAACCCGATCGCATCCATCATCACTGCTAACTCGGGCTGGTCACTTTATGGCTCCTGCGTGTTTGTGGGCTGCTGTGCTGAACCGCGCGGTCTCCTAGCATTTCTAAGCTGAGCTGGGAACCAGCTCTCCTTTACAGTCCTCATGCTGCCGTCCAAGGAAGTGGATTTGCTCTTACTTTTTGAGCCATCTGCCTCATAAACGTCGTTTATTTCCAAAAGTGAAAGTTTGCTGCGACTCTTTTTATTTGCTCCTTTGCTTTTGAAACGTGGTACGTGGAGCTGCCTGGTTTGTGCTTTTTCTCCCAGTCATTCAGCTACTAACTTAGGGAGGGGAGTGTACTCACTCTGCGCTATATGGCATCCAAATTTCCAAATAAAATGGAAATTACCGTGCTTATCAGTATGTCAGATAGTGTGCTATATTATAAGGTCATTTACTTAACCCAAATTTTTGTTAAAATGTGGAAATTCAGATGTTTTGGGAAATCATCATCACATTTCAATTTGGTGGTTGTGTGTGTGTGTGTGTGTGTGTGTGTGTGTGTGTGTGTGTGTATTCTATTAAAGATGATCTATAGTTAAGGAATGTCTTATAAGCAACTTTTCAATCAAATATCATTCTTGCAATTATTTTCAATATGGTCTACTTCTAGCTATACTGTTAAGCCTAATTTCAATTTGCCTCCTTCAATGAGGATTTATTTTTATTTTTTAGTAGCATTTGAACTTACATTTAAATTCAAGGTCTGAACTTTAGGTTGAACTTCTTGTTTTTTTGTGTGTTTTTTTCTCATCATGTCTTCAATAAAATCTAAAAAAATGATTGTTTCTAGTTACTAGGGTAATAGTTGGTCTGACTTCCATTTTTCAAGTGGCTGACTTTTTAAAAATGTGCCTTGAAGTGACCATTTCACCCACCTGCTGATATCTGGTGGTTCGATGCCCACATCAAGTCTGGAATACTGTGCATCGCCTGTACACTCTGTTCCGAGGTGCCCTGCCACTTGACATTTTTTAATATTCCTCTGTAAAACTTTCTTCCTGTCAGGCTAGTCCTCCCCTTTTCAGGTTATTCTCGCCCCCTTCTTGTTCTCTTCAATCACATCCTGTTCTCTTCTAGGAAAATGCTCCTTTAAAATCTAAAGTTGATAGGATTTCATGGCAGACTGATTTGGGAGATAAAGGTGGAAAGGTCAGAATTCCGCCTCCCAGGATGATAACACCATTCGCTGAGACTTAGAATGGAAAAAGCCCAAGTTTATGGAGAAGAAAAAAAAAACCCACTTCATTTTAGCGAACAGATTGGATCACATCCGCAGGACGCTGCCCACAAAGGAGTTGGATGTTTGCATTTGGACGGAGAAGACTGAGCTAGAGGTTCAGATTTAGAAACAAATTTCACTGGTTGTGTTAGGCCATGCAAGTGGATGGGACCACACTAGATATTCACTAAAATGAGAGGAAAGAAAAGCTAACCAGGCAATCCTAGGAAACATTAATTTTTAAGGAGATGTTTGAGGAAGTATATAGAGATTTGAGGTAGATGGAAAATCAGGAGGTGTCATGGAAATCCAGGAAAAAGGAAGTTTCAGGAATGAGATGGTGACCAGAAGTGTGAAGAAGGGGTTAAGAGAAGGGAAGCTGGAGCGTAGGAAAGACTGGACATTTGGAAAAAGTGAGCTGGCAAAGAGGGCACATGCCAGGAAAGCACCCCCGGGTGATACACACAAAGCACCATAAACTGACGTGACCGGCTTTCCCAGAACTTCTCCTCCTGTAAAAGTAAGTTTAATCACGCCCGAGAGGCCAACTATCTGAGACTGAGATAACCGCTTTGTGTAAAGGATAATAAAAAGAGCCCTGAACTGGCCAAGAGTAAATGTGTAACAGGCTGGAGGTCAGGGGCCTCAGAAAAGCTGGTGAGACATGTAGGACAGGGAATGCAGTTGGGTGCCTGGGGCTAGAAGTAGCAATGGGTTTCCAAATAGATAGACAGTTTGGGGGAGGAATTATGCCTGATCACACATCTTTCTCTAGGGCCTCAATCTTGTGAAAATGCCCTTTAGGAGCTGCAGATTCAGTATGTCCCCATCAGAGCTCATCTTCTGGCTCCTCCAGCATCTGCACCTGCTTCTCCTTGCTTTCCGTTGAGAGCATTGCCAGTCACCCAGTGTTTTGAAGTAGAAACATCAGTCATCCTCTTCCAGCACCATCCCTTCTGCCATCAAGTTCTGTCCATTCTCTCTTCACGTTCTCATCTTTTGATTCTGTCCTCTCACTCACTCTTCATTTCCATGCCCATCACCTTAATTCAGGTCCTGAAATATTATTCCTAACTGGCCTCCCTTCTTCTTGTCCTTCCTCCTCTTCCCAACTCACCTTCCACAATTCTAATGAAGCAAATTTGATCATGACGTTCTCATGATTTAAAAAAAAAAAAAAAAATCTCCCAAATCTAGTGAGGAGAAAGTTTGACCTCTTTAACATGACTTCACTCAGGGCCCTCACTGACCTGGCCTTACCCCACATCTTAGGTGCATGACCAGCTGCTTTCTGCCTTCACACATCTGTCTTAAACATCACCAAATTTCTTTGTCCCTCAACTCACCACGCTCTCTTACACTTGATTCGCTATAAAGATAAGCAACCTTGTTGTACTACTAAGATCATTAGCTTCGGTGCTGGAGGAGGGGAGACAGGGGAAGTTGAATGTAAGTGAACTGTACTAGCAAGAGGGAAAAAAAGAATGGTGATGGAAATGATTCTTTGATAAGAGTTGTGATCTCCTCATTTGACTCAATGCGTATGAGACTGTATTTCTTAACTAAGTCATGATTCAAGGATAAGGATATATCAGGGAGACAAGTATACCTAACAGAGCTAACTTCACAACAGACATGGGACTTGAAGTCTGAGTAGGGTGTAAGCAGCTGGAGGTATCGCCTTCTAATTGTGGGGAATGGCATCAACGGAGGAGGACAGCGACCTGTTCGGGGCAGAAGTTCCTGGGGAGGGGAGTAATGTTGGTAAGGCCAGGAAGAGGTCAGGGCATGATTGTTGGAGATTTTCAATGCCAAGGTTGACCCCCTAAGCCCATGGTCGGCAAACTGCCACTCACGAGCTACATGTGCCTCGTTGGCCCCTTGAGTGTGGCTCTTCCTGGGTGGGTCTATTTTGAAGAAGTGGCGTTAGAAGAAGTTTAAGTTTAAAAAATGTGGCTCTCAAAAGAAATTTCAATCATTGTACTATTGATATTTGGTTCTGTTGACTAAGGAGTTTGCCAACTGCTGCCCTAAGTATTGTTTACCCAGCAGGGAATGGAGAGACACGGAAGTTTTTCTTAAGCAAAGCAATGACTTAGTGTAAGCAGGCTTTTAAGTAGATTAATCAGGCAGTAGTGTGCAGGACAGATTAGAAAAGCAGGGAATGCAGGCTGGAAGAGCAAGAAGTATAGTAATCTAGGTCTGAGATGCCGTATTTGCTTAGCTACAAGAAAAAATTCTACATTAAATGTGTCAATGATTAAAAATAAATCTTGAGTTTAGATATGTAAAATCTCGAAAATATAGACCTCTCAGAATTAAAGAAACAAGAAGATCTGAATGAACTAAGGTGGTGATGTTAGAAATGGGAAGGAAGAGTAGAGGCCAAAAACACTTCCACAAAACACATTTTGAAGAATTTGAGAGATTGAATGGTACAATTTAGAGAGAGAAGAGAGACCAAGAGAGGGAGGAGGAGAGAATATTACAATATGACTCCATGATTTTGAGTTTGAATGAAAGCGACAAGGGATGCCATTAAGAGAAATGGGGAAGTCAAGAGGAAAAACACCAAACTAAATTTTATATATTGAGTCTGAGCTGAGGAAATGTCTAGCAGGCAATGGAAATAATGGACCCAGAACTAGAATGAGTATGCAACCAAGGAAGTATCTACACAGACGTCAAAATGTAAGACTTGAGAGTGAAAGGCATTCCAAATGGGGTGTATGTAGAGGACGAGAGGCAGAGCTGTAATCCTAAGGGATTGGCCACATTTAGGGACAGAAAGAACAACAGGAGTGATTTGAAAGGTTGAATTAGATTCATTCCAGAGGAGGGGAATGAAAGACATGAGAAGAGAGAGGTGGCGGCCTTTTGTTCATGCTTTGGACATACGGACATTAATTATGTATCGTTGGATGTGTCTTGAGCATTCACAGAGGTATCAAGAAGCCCACTTCAGCACTCCAAAGGAATGGCATGTGGGACCCCATCTTCACTGTTACCTGGACATCGAATACTAACTGACTGGACCAGCACCTTGGCTGGCTCCTGACCCGTGTGAGAAAGCACGAACTTTCCCAAAGGCTATGGCTGGTACCGAATGCTGTGGATCTCAGCCGGAGCCTTTGAAATCCGAAAGAGCATACTTCCTACATAACTCCTCCGCCGCCCCACTTTGTCCTTTCCTCCCCACGTAACTCTTTAATGAGCAGTTATTTTAGAACATAATTTAGTTGACCCAACATTTTATAACAGAGCCAAAGTTAAAGGCAAACTCGTTTTTAACACTTTTCCTGTTCTGCTGGAATTGCTGGGCCAATTAAACTTTCTGAACTCCTATTAGTCAGGGATGACTGGGCACTCTGGCTTACCTCATTTCCTTAGCAGGTAGATAGGTAATACAAGTATTTACCGGTTTAAAATATAATGCTTGCATAACCCATAAAATACATTTAAAATTCCCAACACAGCCATTGCATTTATTTGTACTTTTGTTCTATGATTGGGAAAGCTAGGACAGGGACAGCTCACCACCACAGGTGCTCTGAAAAGCTGATTGGCTGATGTGATAAACTGATTAGTAATTGGGGATATGAACAGTGATGAATGGCCCTAAAATACAAATTTCAAAAAAGGC